CTTGTCCAAAAAAAGAAATCTCTCATCTATCTTTTTTCCTTATAATTCTTAGGATTTTTTTCCCCTTCGGATGTCTTGACTTTTTTTGGAATTTTAGACTGTATATTCAGGACCCGTGGCTGTCCAATGCCAGAACGACGCTGGCCGGAGCCGGGGTGATGCCCTGTGACTTGCCGAAGGTGAGGGCATGAGGCCTCGTAGAGAGATCTGGGGATGCTATGCGGGGAGCATCCTAGGGGACAGCTGCAGGTTGCTGACATAGGACGACGCTGGCCGGAGCTGGAGTGAGTAGCGTTGCTCTGTAACCTAGCAGATAGGGGGCGTGAGGCCTGGATGAGTTTGTCAGCGAAGAAGTCAGTCTCGGTGAGCTTGTTATGATCTGTTGGAATTCCCCCAGATCCCTGAGTATTCAAAAAATTGCTGAGGATTTCAGGAGGTGTTTAGCGGTTAAATAGTTCTCTTATCATCTAGCCGTTGGGGAAATGGGTGGGGGGCCATTGGGGAGCTGTACTCTACAGGGGCGCTGCAAGGTGGGTGGTGGCTGCTCTATCGGGGGTAGGGCAGATTTGGGGTTTGTTCTTGTCTGGGGCCGGGGTGGGAGAGTTGGTCGCCTTCAACCCCGGCTGGGGCAGATAGGGACAGAGGGGAGGGCGAAGGCAACATTTTCTCAATTCTTTGGTTAGACTTTAATTATCTTCTCTCTCTTCGAACTATGTGGTGGAGGAGGTCGGCTTGTCGAAGGGAGATGGAAAATTGAAGTCCATTCTTAACCATATGGGTTTTGGGAGGTTGATTGTCTGCTGTTTCTTATCTTCCGAACTATGTGGTGAAGGAGGTCGGCTCGTCGGGAGATGAGGAAGAGTAGGGGGTTGCCAGGCATAGCAGGCAGGAAGCTAATTGTTCTCAGATTTGTTCAGATTTTTTGCCTGGACTGATTACTTTCTTCTCTCTCTTCGAACTATGTGGTGGAGGAGGTCGGCTCGTCGAAGGGAGATGGAAAGTTGAAGTCCATCCTTAATCATTATGGGATTTGGTGAGGTTGATTGGCTACTGTTTCTTGTCTTCCGAACTATGTGGTGGAGGAGGTCGGCTCGTCGGGAGATGAGGAAGAGTAGGGGGTTGCCAGGAATAGTAGGCAGGAAACTAACTGTTCCTAGATTTGTTCTCATTTTCTTGAAATTCTAAGGATCTCGTCAAAAGTTCTTAGACTCTTAGATTGATCCTAGCCGAAGCCAGGTAATGGCCCTGGTATTTCAAACACCAAAAAACATAAGCTCCAATTAGACTTTTCTAGTAGTTCCTTGTCCTTTTTCATGCAAGTCTCTGATGAAATTTTCTGAAGGTACTCGTGATGGGATGCTGGGCCCGGTTCCCAGTTTGTACCAATCAGTAAGGAAATGGTTGTATATATGGGACGATGGACCCGGTTTCCAGCAGGTGCTGCTCCCCACCAATAGATGGAGCTTGTCTTTTTCAAAAAAAAAAAAAAAAAAAAGGTGCCCGGTGTCCTGGACGGGGTGGACGAAGCGCTTGCTGTAATGCCAGCGGCCGCGCACCTGTTGGGGATCGGCTGATGTACCAATAGCCATGATCGGTAAGGTTTATTTCCGCATGGACGCCATTGGAGGCGATCTGCAGACTAGATTTCCGCACGGGCGTCCATGACCTACGAGCAAAAGTGTGCAGCAGCGTTCCTCAACCCCGAGTACAGGGCAGACAGCACGGAGCACGACTCAGAGATCTGTGTAAGCTTCAACACTTGGCTGTACACCTGAGCATGACTCAGACGACAGTCGGTCAGCAAGTGCACGGCACTGCATGTATGCGAGCGCTTGAAAGGGGTCTCCTGCATCCCCCAAGGCGCTGCAACAAGCGCACGCACAGACACTACAGTCTTCCCCCGAACAAAACGCACGTGTACAACGCACGTGCGTTATGCTACGGGTTTTGGGCACCAACTTCAGAAAACAGACTCTCAAAAAAAATCCGGTATTCGCCCTTGTAGCCACGGGCCTGTCCTTGGGGCATCCGTCACAGTTGGAGCAACACACATAAATTGAGAAATGGTCCTCGTTACAAAAACAAAACAGTCTCCAGAATGAATCTTCCCCTAGAAAACGGAAGTATACATCCTGCATGTGTAGAGGGGTGGAGCGAGACTGTACGTAGACAAGAACACCTCCATGTCAAACGGCCATAGGGAAGCCACAGAGAGAGAGAGAGAGGAGCAGTTCGGCCTGTCGTTTCTTGGAGCGCGTGGTGATCCCGTTTTCTGGCCGCAATACTTCGAGCTTTGTCTTCGGCCAGTCGTTTCTTGGGGCACGCGGTAATCCTGTTTTCCGCGGCGATTGCGGCCAGATACGGGAAGAGTCCGGGGGGGAGAGAGAGAGAGAGAGAGAGAGAGAGAGAGAGAGAGAGAGAGAGAGAGAGAGAGAGAGAGAGAGAGAGAGAGAGAGAGATGTGTACTATTCGAATAGTACACACGTGCATACTATTTGAACGTGTGTACTATTCAGATTTTCAGGAGTGGCTCGAGTGCAGATAGCCCCGCCAACGAGCCAGAGAGAGCTCCGCAGGAAATCGAGTGTGCTTCAGCCCGGAACAGCACTCTGACGTGCACCGTCCCAATACAGATTCCGACTGAGAAAATTAGTGCAAGCATGTTCATCGCATCCCCAAAAAAGGCGGAGAACCATTGATGAGGTGGTGGTTGAGTAACGACGATGACAACAACATCGCTCTGCTGTACGATAAACAGCGGGAGTGGCTTGAGTGCAGACAGCACGGCAAACGCTCACGGAGAGAGCTCCGCCGGAAATCAAGTGTCCTTCAGCCCAAATCAGCGCCGATGTGCACCGTCGAGGGCCGAAAGCATGCTCTACGATGGGCACGACAGAAAGGCGATTGAGTGCACGGCAGCGAGGAGGTATAACCAGGAGCACAAGGCGAAGAAGGAAAACCGCAGAAACGGCGGACAAGGGAGAAGCTGTAGGAAGGGGAAGGGGTGAGCGGAAGGCAAATGGGAATGTAGAAAGACCACAGAAGAGGGGAGGGGAGGGTTGGAAGGAGGGGATGGGGTCCCACAGAAATGGAATCCACAGTGATTACAGCTGAGGCTGCCAAAGCACACCAGCCCAAGCACAGGCAGCCAAATCTGAGGCAGCCAGGGCTATAGGAACCAAAATGATACAATGAGGGGGTCATTCACGATGAATGCGAGGATGATGGAGGGGCTCATTTACCATCATCATAATCACTGACGTCATTATCATAATCACAACCCAGTGGGACAGAGGCAGAGATGGAGGAGGAAAGGAGCAGGAATCAAGACAGCAAGGAGGACGGCAGGGAGGGATGGCAGGGAGGGATGGCAGGGAGGATGGACGGGAGGAAGAGGAGAGAGAGGACGGTCATAGTCAAAGCATGGAAAGGACAAAGAGACGGATGAGGAGGCAGAAGGTATTTTGTTTGCAATCTTCTAGAGACTTCAACTTCCTTTCCGTCTTCAATAAGGACATTGATTTCACTGTCTGCTGACCACTGGTCTGGATTAATGTGCCTTTGATCGGTGCTGAGTTGTTTTTTTTTTCGTTTTTTGCCTTCTTGATGGTGTTTTTTACTGTGTTGCAGTGTGAACTGTTCTTTGGTAGGTTGTTGCTCATTATTTTTTGCTGCCATACTGTTTCTTGTTGTCGTCTGTTGAAGTTTCCACCATTTCCAATGTGCACACGCCACACACAGGTAATGCCTGATTCTTACCCTTCCAGTTAGTTGCTCGAAAAACGTTACTTTCTGTGCTTTTCTGCATGAATTTCTGATTTCTGCATGGCCTAGGTAGTTGTGTGCAACACTCTCCCCTCCCCCCCCCCCCCCCAACAAAAAAAAAACACAGCCAACACACTGTCCAAAACAAAAGTAAAAAATCGTAGTAAGCCATGCTCATGCAGAGAGATGCGCAACACACGATGCTCATGCGGAGAAATGCGCAGCGCACCACCGAGTGCAGCGGCGCACGGTACACCTCAGGGTCGTGCAGCGAACTGCAAATTACTGCCGAGGGCTCATGCACATCCGGGAGTGGCACATTACGCACAGCACACCACACCGCGCAGTGGCACATTACGCACAGCACACCACACCGCGCCACACACCGCATCGGTGAGTGGCACATACACACAGCACACCACACCGCGCCACACACCTCATTGGTGTAGACTCTGCAGAGGGCTCTGATTAAGTAACTTCACCCAGCCCATGTGGGTGAATGAACACCCATGGACTGTAGCTATGGCAACAGAAGTTCTAATCGTGATAGAACCAGATGGACAAAATAACTCTGGATTACCTGTGACCTGTCAGTTCTATGATGATACCTCAGGACCGTTGCCCTTTTGAAAAGAAAATGCAGCTATAGCTGCTATACGGAAGTTATACCTTCATCAAATTGCACCACCATCTTCACCCGAATAGAACACCCGGTAATTATTGCCGTATCTGGACTGAAAGCTGCCCCAAATACGGCTATAATGACCGGGTGTTCTATTTGGGTGAAGACGGTAGCCGAGGCAGACAAGTCCGGTCCATATGTCGGCACCTGTCTGCTTCCAGTCCGTAGAAGCAAAAAAAAAAGAGAGAGGCCATGGAAGCTCTCCTCCCATTCCCTCCCAAAGTCTGGTTCACATGTCGGCATCTGTAGAACCAAAAAGAAAAGAGAAAGAGGCCATGGAAGCTCTCCTCCCATTCCCTCCCATTCCTACCCACCCTCTCTCTCTCTCTCTCTCTCTCTCTCTCTCTCTCTCTCTCTCTCTCTCACACACACACACACACACACACACACACACACAGAGATAAGGGTCGTACCATAAAACACCCGGCACATAAGCTGAGACAAAAAAAGGATCCTCAGAAGAATAACTGATAAAGAGCACTCCATGACCACCCTCCTTGCATTCACCGTTGTGTACCACTTGCATAGGTCAGCAATTGAAAGGAAGACTTACTGTCATAGTGGCGCTCTCCCCTCGCTTCCAGATATTGTCGTTCTGACTCCACTTCAGAGAGAATGTCAGCAAGTGAATCAATGGCATCGATCACCGGCTTCATGTGCTCTAAGAAAAAACAATCAGAAGCAGACACAGACAGTGAGCAAAAGGAGCAGCATAGGCATCAAGAGAGAGAGGAGTGGATAACAATGCCTACACCATGCAGTGTTTGTAATTAACATCGGCCAATTAACAGCTTGTCCAGCCGTCCGTTCCCGGGCTGCTAGTGAAGGCTGCTGCTCGTATCACCTTTTCCCTACAGTCTTCCCCCAAATACAACGTACGGTCATTATAGCTGAATTTGGTCTATCTTTCCGTCTAAATTCAGCTATAATGACCGTACGTTGTATTCAGGGGAAGACTGTAGCAGCGGGGGCCCGGTCCTTAATCCACCAGTACCTCCATCAGTGTTAAGAAATTACGATGTCTTGGCCAGTACCCGAAGTTTTCGGGGTGGGACACAGGGCTGGCAATGTCCCATAAATCTGAATTTTATAGTGACGGAAAAAGGGGGGAAAAAAATGCTTTCTCTACTGCAATGATGTCGGGCTGGGTAGTCCACGAGGCCGTGTCTTCCTCCACAGAATGCACCTTACAAGTAAGGCGGTCACATTCTGAATGTTACTGTTTTCTTTTTTTTGTTGGTCGTGTGTTTCTTATGAGTCCCCTGTCCGTGAATTGCTCAAGCTGTCCGTGATCTGCTCAAGCTGTGCTTTGTCAGAGGATTGTAAGGCTCATCACACTGGCACTTAGGGGAATGTATCCAGCCATTTTCACGCCGGATCCATGTGCCCATTTTCCCCCCCTTTTATTCTCTTTTTGGAATCTGACAACCTGGCCACGGGGCTGAGATGCCCTCATTGAGGGCACACTCACACTACCACTTCCAAGAATGTGTACAACTGCAATCACGGCCAAATCTTTGTTTCCTTTTTTTTTTTTTATTCTTTTCTGAGGTTCACGGCCGCAACTTTTCTTCTTCTTTTTTGTTTTTTTCGTTTTTTTTGTTCTTTCCGTGAGAGTACCAGAAAGAAAACGAAGTGGTACCCAGGCTCGGAGGTACTGGTGGTTTAAGAGGGGGGAAAAAAAAAAAAAAAAAACCCGTCTAAGTACTCCAAGATGACGAGGCACCAAACGGATCCGTCGATATGAGCTCTTATCTCCTCCCTACACATTTGGGGTCATCGGCCTGTTATCTCCTCCCTACACACGATATGGACTCTTGCTGCTGGACTCATCCGTCGATCCAAGTAACCAGTATCTTCATTCACGTAAGTATCTCTCTCACTGCTCTTCTCTCTTCTCGCTCAGTCTTCTCTCTGCCTACTACCTCCCTGTGTCTTCTCTCCCTACTTGTATCCACTCACACCCTCTAGTACTCAACGACCAACTCTGAATACACCCACTGCTAAGTCTACTAACCCCTCTGAGTTCTACTACTAACAGTAAACACTGGCGCAGCTATGGCTGCCTTCCCTCTGCCAGCACCGGGCCAGATATGGCTGCTCCCTCTCTCTCCCTCTACTAGCGCAGCTCCCTGGCTCAGCGCTCCGCGCCTCACAATATCGCACAAGTGCCCCAGCACTTCCACACCTCGTGCGAATGAGCAAAATCTGCCCGAATGAGGAGGCTGGCCAGTCCTTATATTGTCTTGGACTGAGCTGAGCTTCAACTCGTCCCAGCCTCTGCTTCTTGGGTCTTGACTTGGTTCTGGTAGCGCAGCTCCCTGGCTCAGCGCTCCGCTCCTCACAATAGCGCACAGATGCCCCAGCACTTCCACACCTCGTGAGAATGCGCAATCTGCCCGAATGAGGAGGCTGGCCAGTCCTTCTATTGTCTTGGACTGAGCTGAGCTTCAACTCCTCCCAGCCTCAGAGTCTGCTTCTTGGGGCTTGACCTGGTTCCGGTACCACATCCCCACGGCCTGTTTGCTTCCGAATGTCAGGGCCTGGCTTGTACCTTTCCCGAATTTCCATTGGTGTGCTGCTCCTTGGGCCTGGGTGGGGGTCACGACTCTTCACTCGTGGAACATGGACTTTTGACTGTGGATTGTGACCCTTGCCTCTGGGACACCACTTCTGCTTGGGAACGTGTCCTTTGCCTGCGGAACGTGACTTTTCAATACGACTCTTTAATATGAGACGTTACTTTTGCCCCTGGGATGTGCCTGTTCATTGGGTGCCTGTTGGATTTGACCCCCTAAGGAACCCGACTGTGACGTCTCTGAAACTGACCGACTTGGCCTTTCCTGGCCTAGGCCCTGAAATTCGAATTTGGGGTCAGAATCGTGGAAGGCCTTTCAACCATACTTGCAAGCGCACCTCGTGCGCGACTTTCCCGACGTCCGGCGCACGGGCCCGACCGTTCCC